GGATCCGCTTCTGCTCAAAATCCAGCTGGCAGCTCCGTGCCACGCAGCCGGAACGGCCTTCGGACGCTGCCCGGCTGCTCTGCTTAATGTTTAACCAGGAAAACGACCTGTTTCTGTGTTAAATCCAGTTTTTTCCTGGCAGTCGATGGCAAGAGATTACTTTCTAAACGTGCCGTGCTAGGGGCTGTGAGCAGCTCTGCCTGCCCCAGGGCACTGGAGGGAGCAGGGATCTATCTCCCCCCGGAATATCCCGGGGGGCTGCTTCAGTCCTGGGGTTTTGGACTGTTCCTATTCGAGGCTCCCAAAGCAGAGGCTCCCCCACCCTCCCGGAGTGTTTCTCTAATTGCCCTCCCCATAAAACGTTAATTGTAGCTTCGCTTTGTGTCCATTAACCCTCTCGAGTGCAGGGACTCTATGGGATTTATGGTAAAATGGGGGGCAGGGAAGGGAATTTTCCTTTCCTGTGTCAGTTTGGGGGTTTGGTACCACCTGTGTCAGGAGGGGACAGCAGTGACTGTCACGTCCAGTGTGGGGGGACAGGATCCCACTCCCTCACCCAACTCCCATCACAGCTCAGGGTGATCCAGGCTCAGTGTGTACATTCCCATCACCCACATGGAATGATCTGAGACAAACACACTTTTCATCCTATTTTATTACTTCACATCCTGTTTTCTTATTCCAGCTCAAGCCAAGCACAGCCATCAGCCACGGCATTCTTACCTTCGCTTCCTTACGTCCTAGTGTGCCACAGCCACAATCCCATTCCATGGGGGATCATACCTGTGCTCACACATTCCCTGTGAGAGCTCTCCCACAGCCCTCCCTGCTCCATGGGGCCCTGGAGCTGTATGGCATTACCTGAGTTCTGCAGCCTCTGAGAACCCACAACACATCTCTGTTTGCCCCATGTTTTTACCAGCTGGGTAAGGCACCACAGACTCAGTGCCCACGACACAAACCCTGAGAGTCCAAAACTTAACAGAAGAGCTTCAAGCACCTCACCTTTTGCAAAGAGAAACCTCACCAAAAACCTTCAGAGCACAATGTGAGCCCTGATGAGCTGCACAGACACCTTTTCAGGCCCAGCTCTGCCACCACACCAAAGCACGTGCACACTCAAGCTCCCTCCCCTTCCCCAAAATCAACCACCCAAGCAGCAAGGCGACAAAACCCCTTCATGAGAGGCAGCTTAATGCCAAAAACTCCCCCCCAGAGCCACAACAGATTAACTGTTGTACAAGGGAACCACCCTGGTGATGCCCTGCCTGCAGATTGGGCACTTCTTGGGCTCGGGCAGTGCCTGGTAGCACTCGTGGCAGGAGCAGACGTGGCCACACTCCAGGAAGACACAGGATTTGGTGCTGCTCAGGCAGATCACACAGGCGTTTTTGAGGGTCTCTCCCCCCTCTGTGTTCATCAGGCGCTCCTGAGCCTGCCTGAATTCCTCCTGCATCTGCCTGAGGTGCTGCCTCTCCCGGTGGTACCGGTACTGCTTCCTCAGGACGAAGAAAAGGACAGCACAGGTGGCAAAACCAAACATGAAGGTCAGGATTTTCCAAAACCTGGTGTTGGACTCTTGTTTCTGCAGCAGGGAGTCGAAATCCATGGAGCTCAGGTAGTAGGGCATACCCTGCTTTGGGGGCTGCAGCTTGATGGTGGTGTTGTCCAGGACCAGCTCTCCCACCCCTGTCAGTGCTGTGCCCACCTTCAGCATCTGCTCTGTCTCCTGGATGCCCTTGGGACGCTCTCCACTGATGTAGTGGCCGATGACGTCGGTGAAGGACTGGACAGAAGGATGGAACTTCTCATACACTGTCTCCAGGCTGAGCTCAGCAGCCTCCAGAGGCTTCATCACCCGCACAGTCACACCAGTGCTGTCCTCCAAAGGGACCAGGTCAAAGGGGGTGGTGTTGGTTCGCTGGTGGATGATCTTCTCGTAGTCATTCCTGGGGAAGGAGAAGGGGAGAAAGGGAATCTGATCCCCTGAGGCTAAAGGGAGACACTACTTGCTGATCTGCTGATTTTGGGGACTGCCAGCTGCCCCTGCCCTGAGCAGAGTTCATCTGATGACCAGAGCAGCGCTTTTCCCCTCAGGTGTGCACGAGGTCACTTCACCCTCACCTTGGTGATTTCACAAGCAGTGTGGGCTTCCCCCATCACCAGGAGAGGGTTGTGTCCCATCTAACCCCCCCACCTCTCTGTGGCATTCCCAGCTGTCACCAACCACCCTGTGAGGAGAAGCATCACCTGTCACAACCCCAGTTTGATAAGTGTTATCAAATGCTTATCAAAGAGCATCATCAAGCTCTTGTTTCAGCAGCTCTGAAGGGCCAGACTCTCCTCAGGTCATCTGCGTGCAGGTATCACTCAAATCCAACTCATTTTTCTTCTAAAAGTGGCTTTTTTGGCCACCTCCATAATGAGGCAGGGCTCACCAAAGCTCTGCCTGTGCTGGGTTACTCAATGTCCTCATCTCTATGAGCTCTGAAAGGCTCAGCCCTAAAATCATCCAAACATGTCCCATTTTTGGCAGCTGTCACTGTGGGAGCCACTGCGGGGCCCAGCTCTGAGGGACCTTGGTCACAGAAAGGTCATTTTGGGGTGTCAGACCCCCCAGGGGCACCTCAGCTCATCTGAGAGGAGGATGTTAGTGGGCACCAGACACATACCAGAGGTGAGTGGTTCTGTTCCACACCATCTTGTGCTCCTGCAGCGTCAGCCTCTGAACCACTCCCTTGCAGTTCTCCACAAACTGGCTGCTCAGGGTCTCCTTAACTGACCTCACCACACCTGGAAGGCAAATCCAAGGGGCACGTGAGGTGATTGTTAAACAAAAATAAACAGAGGGACTTTGGACAAGGCTCTGGAGTGACAGGGCAAGGGGAAATGGCTTTAAGCTGGAGGAGAGTAAATTTAGATTAGATAGACAGCTGCTCTTTTAGGTGGAGGCAAGAGGGTTGGAAATCTTCCAGTACCTAAAGGGCAATTACAAGAAGGCTGGAGAGGGACTTGGGACAAGGGCATGGAGTGACAAGACAAGGGGCAATGACTTCACACTGACAGAGGGCAGGGCTAGATGGGATATTAGGAAGAAATCCTCTGTGAGGGTGCTGAGGCACTGGACTGGCACAGTCAGAGAAGCTGTGGCTGAACTATTCCTGCAAGTGTTCCAGGCCAGGTTGGATGGGGCTTGGAGCAACCTGGGCTAGTGGAAGGTGTCCCTGCCCATGGCAAGGGGTGGAACTGGATGGGCTTTAATGTCCTTCCAACCCAAACCTTCTGTGATTCTACAACTAGGAAGGAATTCCTGCCTGTGAGGGTGCTGAGGCACTGGCACAGGCTGCCCAGAGAACTATTCCTGCAAGTGTTCCAGGCCAGGTTGGATGGGGCTTGGAGCAACCTGGGCTAGTGGAAGGTGTCCCTGCCCATGGCAAGGGGTGGAACTGGATGGGCTTTAATGTCCTTCCAACCCAAACCTTCTGTGATTCTACAACTAGGAAGGAATTCCTGCCTGTGAGGGTGCTGAGGCACTGGCACAGGCTGCCCAGAGAGGCTACGTCTGAACTATCCCTGGAAATGTTTGAGGCAACCTGGGCTAGTGGAAGGTGTCCCTGCCCATGGGAGGGGGTTGGAACTGGATGAGCTTAAATGTCCTTCCAACCCAAACTGTCTATGATTCTAACATGGGGCAGAAGGGCTGTGAGCCCTCGTTTTGTGCTGTCAGCACTCAGTGTCTGCTTGTCAGGGGGGAGATAAACCGATGGGTGTCGAACGAGGCGCTGGGGATGAGACCCCAGCGAAGAGCAGCTGCGGAGAGAATATCTCACCGCCCTCAGCCCTGTCCCTACCTTCTATAACCGCGTAGGGCACGCAGCGTCCCGGCGCCTCCATCAGCACTGCCCGCAGGTCTCCATCCAGCCGC